ATGTTTAGGGGATAGTATTAATGGTTAATGGTTTAAAATTTATAAGCAACAAAATAAAAAATATCTATATATATCTATATGCGCTGTAAACATGTGTGGAGATGGTTCGAAATGGGAAAGTATTTTTTAAATATAGGGTTTTTAAATAAATAAATAGAGATGAAAGTTTCAAGCCAAGACACTACTCAAACCACAGTATGGAGATACACCCTAGTTGCTAACCAGGGAATGATCTATTGAACCCTGGTGAGCACCTGTTTGGTCTTCCCCATCTCAGACTCGGGTGCCTGTTATCCTAATATAATATGATTGTTTATTTATATGTTTTGGCCTTTGACACAGTCATGGTACACATGAAACTAACAGAAGGCCTATTGATAACATGCAGAATGATAAATCACCCAAGGAAAAACAACAAGATTGATGGTACAGCTAAAAAAAAAATAAAATAAAATAAAAACCAGATTTATCTTAATTTAAGTTTTAATAATGGTCATACAACTAATGTGAAAGGCATATAATGGTATCACTGAGCAGATAACAATTATTCTAATACCGAATTGATAGTAGATCAATATATAGGCCTTGTTTTATTTATTAAAGTGCATTTAATATAGAACTGATAAACAAAATAATTTGTACAGTTTTGCTAAATATTTAGAAGACACATGTTCATTTTTTGACATGTGAATAAAACGGGCAAACTTCAGGGTTAATACGCAATACATCAAATTCAATACACTTTATTATAGGCTGTAATATAAAAAGAACATTAATCGTATTAAATAGCGAACATAGACCTTCAATCATTTAATTAAACTAATCCAAGCTTTTAATGATACACTATTACTCCTGCATGAAATTACTGTTAATCATTTTATTAATAACATTTCAAAATTTATCCCCAGCTTTTTATTAAGTTGGTACAATTCATCTTACTGACACAATATTTATATATATTTTTCAGCATTCAACAGATAATTTAAAATATGATTGTAAAAATAGAATCTAAATTTATAATTTTCAAAAGTCATATCTACCCTTAAGCCATATCTAACAAAACTGCATTTAATTTATTATATTTATGATAATAACTTAGATTACTTTGTAACTATAGCAACAGATGCACCAAAATTAAAAACGCCGCTAAATGTACGAGCACAAGCACTTTCAGAGTCGGTGATAATGGTGGAGTGGCAAGGGGATACTAGATTTACGTACACCGTCCGTTACAAGGCAAACTTCTCGTCTTCACGGTGAGTAAAAAATTTAGCCTCCGTTACAACATATATTTACAATTGTACTTTCGCCTGCAATTTCAGTTGCATTGGTTTGTTTTTGCTGCAGTTCTATTGAGCTATTTTGTCAAAATCAGAGCATATTGTCTTATGCCAACGCTGTCCACATTGTGTCCACACAGTGAAAATACTGTCACAACACTTACAATGTGTTCACACTGGGTACACGCTGTGTAAATCTCACAAATTCCACCTAGTTAATGTAGTCAACACTGTGTGATAGTCTTTCTCTCCGTATTCTGTGACATTTTTCCAAAGGAATCCCTCATTGTGATTCACATTGTTATCTCATTTATTGAATCAAACATTTATGGAGCACATTCTCAACTCCCTGGGGGTGGGGTGTGATCCTTAATATTGCAGTTAGTAATTGGTGCATCAATCATACCTACCTGTCTAGATTTATACTACTGAGTTGAAAAAGACAACTTCAAGGAAGTGTCTTTCCAATCAACACAAGGAATCTAACCAGTGTCATAATCATATATATATATATATATGGCAAAGACAAGCCAAACCAGTCACTCATCGCAAAAATTTTGAGTTATTAATACAGTGTTAGAGAGTAAAATAATAGCTATAAAATGGTAAAAAAATCATTCAAATCGGACATTTCCTTATGAAGTTACAAGCGTTTAACCACACAGCTGTTTAAAGAACAA